GAGGGCAGTTGATGGAATGAGCACTGAATATTGTATGCAAGTAATGAATCACTAAAACCTACCCCTGAAACTAATACACTATATGTTAACTAACTTGAATTTTTTAAAAATCTAAAATACATAAAAATATACAAAGAAATCTAAAATAAAAAATAAGAGCTTCCACAGCAAAGGAAACCATCAACAAAATGAAAAGGCAGCTACTGGATGGAAGAAAATATTTGCAAATTGTGTATTTAATAAGGGATTAATATCTAAAATATAAAAAAGAACTCCAGCAACTAAATAGCAATAAAACAATCCAATTAAAAAATTGGCAGAGCATCTGTATAGATATTCTTCCAAAGAAATCATACAAGATGGCCAAGAGGTCCATAAAAAGGAGCTCAGTGTTACTAATCATCAGGGAAATGCAAATCAAAGCTGCAGTGAGATATCATCTTACACCTGTTAGAATGGTTATCAAAAAGACTCAAAATCAGGACACCTGGGTGGCTCAGCGGTTAAGCATCTGCCTTCGGCTCAGGGTATGATCCCGGAGTTCTGGGATCGAGTCCCACATCAGGCTCCTACAGGGAGCCCTCTGTCTCTGTCCCTGCTTCTCTCTGTGTCTCTCATGACTAAATAAATAAATCTTTAAAAAATTGAAATAACAAGTGGTGGCTAGGATGTGGACAAAAAGGGAACCCTTTTGCACTGTTGGGGGAAATGTAAATTGGTGCAGCCACTATGAAAAACAGTATGGAGGTCCCTTAAGAAATTCAGAATAGAACCAAGATATGATTTAGTAATTCCACTACTGGCTATCCAAAGGAAACAAGCACTAAATTGAAAAGATATCTGCACCTCCATATTCATTGCAGCATTGTTTACAATTGCCAAAACATGGAAGCAACTAGATGTTTATCATTGGATGAATGGAAAAGAATATGTGAGATATATAGGTACATATAATATACATATATGTATTTATTTTATATGTATATTTATATATTATATATTTTATGTATATTATATATTTTATATGTATGTATACATATACAATCTAATGATATATATCTACTATATATAAAGGAATATTGTATACAATGTATATATTCAACATTATTCAGCAATAAAAAAGGAAATCTTGCCATTTATAACAACATGGATGGACTTTAAGAGAATTCTTTTTTTAATATTTTTTAAAGGTTTTTAATTTATTCATCTGAGAGAGAGCAAATGAGCAAGCGAGAACATGAGCAGGGAAAGGAGCAGGGGCAGAGGGAGAGGGAGAAGCAGACTGTCTGCTGAGCAGGGAGCCCAACATGGGGCTTGATCCTAGGACCCCAGGTTCATTACCTGAACAGAAGGTAGATACTTAACTGACTGAGACACCCAGCACCCTGAGAGAATTCTAAGTAAAATAAGTCACTAGAGAAATACTAGATGATGATACTATAAGTAAAATAAGTCACTAGAAATACTAGATGATGATACTATATCATCTCAATTGTATGTGGAATCTAAAAACAAGCAAAAAGCAAAAAAATAGATACAGAGAACAAATAAGTTGCCAGAGGCAGGGGATGAGAGGATTGATGAAATGGTGAAGGTAGCCAAAAAATAGAGACTTTCAGTTATAGAATAAATAAGTCCTGGAGATACAATAAACAACATGATGACTAATTAATACTGTATTATGTATTTGAAAATTACTGAGAGAGTAGAACTTAAAAGTTCTAGTAGAACTTAAAAGTTCTTATCGTAAGAAAAAAAACTGGGGGGTCCCCAGGTGGCTCAGTGATTTAGCGCCTACCTTCAGCCCAGGGCATGATCCTGGAGACCCGGGATGGAGTCCCGCGTCGAGCTCCCTGCATGGAGCCTGCTTCTCCCTCTGCCTGTGTCTCTGCCTCTCTCTCTCTCTCTCTCTGTCTCTCATGAATGAGTAAATAAAATCTTAAAAAAAGAAAGAAAGAAAGAAACTATAACTGTGTGGTGATAGATGTTAACTAGACTTAACCATGGCAACCATTTCACCATATTTGCAAATACGAATCATTATGTTGTATACCTGAAACTCATGTAATGTTATATGTCAATTATAATTCAAAATTTAAAAATAGGGGATCCCTGGGTGGCTCAGTGGTTTAGCACCTGCCTTTGGCCCACGGCATGATCCTGGAGTCCTGGGGTCAGGTCTCGCATTGGGCTCCCTGCATGGAGCCTGCTTCTCCCTCTGCCTGTGTCTCTGCCTCTCTTTCTCTCTGTGTCTCTCATGAATAAATAAAATCCTTTTTAAAAATTTAAAAATAAGCTTAAAAATGAAGTTTGAACATACAAAAAGCTAAATTTTTGTCAGACTAATTTCATGCTTTGTCTTTATTGTGGGGGTAATTATATTAATGTGAGGTTATGATGACATGATCTGGGTTGTCAGTAAATTACTTTTTTTATTTCTTTCCCCTCACTGGGCCCCAGAGAATGTGGTGGAGTCTGATTCCAGACAACAAGGATATTCTCACAAGCAGTCCTACAGGAACAAGAGAGGGTGTTGGGTCAGGTCTGAGGAAGAGACAGCTTATCCAAGTCCACCAGCAGGGCATGATGCCTGGACTTCAGGAGCATTAATACATATCTGTAGCATTCAAATATTTTTCTTTTTCACATTGTAATTTCCCTTTGTCCCCCACTCTACCCCCCAAATCTGGATAAAAATGTAGAGCCTGGACAAGACTATGGTTTCAGGAACTAAGGGAAGGGCCTGGGTATCTTCTGGCCTAAGGCAGCACAAAAAGGATAATAGCTGCCCAGGTAAAAGATAGCAGTAAGTTTTAGGGGAGCAAGTAGCTGGTGACTGCTGACTCAGATGTTTGAAACATGCAAGCTTTCATCAAAATCCCCCAAATGTAATATGGAGAGGAATCAGTCGAAAAAGCATACTTTCTAGAGGCAGTCACATGCAATGTAGAACTGTTGTCACCCAAACTTTACAAGAAACTGACCCTCAAACGTGGAGATTTCACAACCTAAGTTACATCTGCTTTTTCCTGCCCACATTAAAACTAGCCTCCTCCTTTACCATAGTCTATCCTAATGTGGTTCAACGTTCATTTGCTGGAATTCAAGATTTTTATTTTATTTTATGTTTGGAATTCAAGATGTTATAAACTTTTTATTACTTGATAATTTCTAAATGTTTAGCAATCCCAGTGCCTGGGATTGGTGCAGTCAGCTAAGCATCCAACTTTTGGTTTCAATTCAGGTCATGATCTCAGGATCCTGGGATTGAGCCCACTGTTGGGCTCCAAGCTCAGCAAAAAGTCTGCCTAGAGTTCCCTCTCCCTCCCCCTCCACCCCTCCCCTCCTTCTAAAATGAATAAATCTGTTTTAAAAAATTGGTCTGCCTCAGTATTACACTAAGTAAGATTTTTGTTGTGCTAAGGAGTAGCAAGAGGCATTCAGCCAAGGAAATGAATTTGGCCTTATCTATATTTTAAGGTTATCTCCAGTTAATTATTCATAATAGACTTTTATTAAGCATTTATAATATGCTGAATCCAAGCCCTGAGTAAGATGACAACCTGCCATTCCCTGATGTCAAGATATAATAGGAGAAAAGACATTTTCATTGATAATTTTTATGCAATTTGGGAATTCATAGTAGAGGTCAATTAGGGACCTGTTGAGTGCCTTCCTCATCACTTTTTACCATAAGAAAAGGCCCATGAGGAAGTGGAGAATAGTGATTGAGCCATACCAGAGGAGAGATGCAGGTTCTACCACTTACCAGTTCTAGAGCAAATTTTCTTTGCTTCCTCATGAACAACATGGAGGTTTCATTGGGAACTTGGGAAGATGAAGTGGAAACAATGAATGCAAAGTATTTATCACAGTTCTTGCCACAAAATAACATTAATGTTATACTTGCTTTCTGCTTCTTCACAGAGAATTATCTACCACCTCTAAGCACTGTTAACCTGTAATTGGAGAGATTCCTTCTGATGTCAGTGAACAAGTTAATAATTTCAATACATTAAAAAAATAGAAGATAAAAATTTAGTTTTATACATGTACTTAGCACTGTGGAAGGTTAGGGTCTCTATACTCTTATAAAATTAGCATAAATACAGTTTTCTAAGTCTAGGTGATATTCATCAGACACAAGATATTTGGAGGTTTGAAATTCATCCCATGAAGATGATTAAAGATAAAGGCTATGATGCTGCTCTAAAGAAAAATAATTGAAACTTTGTGGGTGAAAAGGGAGTATGGCTATAGGAAGGTTTTGGGAATACTGGGAAGTAATAAGTTGGGTATACATGCATCATGTTAAACATCTGCCAGATTTGAAAAGTAGTATGATTTTAACACTTGCCCCTTGACCTTGGGACAATCAGGCTTTTCTGGTTTCCCAGGTATGGTATATCCCACAGAGTCCTAGAACAAAATGGACTTAATAACTATGCCAAGTGGAATCTGAAGAGATAAATAATCAGAATAGGGTTTTATTTATTTTTGGATTTAAACGCTCATTTCATGAATATACATTTATAAGGCAAATTTAAATGATCACATAAACAGCTGTCCTCATAATAGGTACTGGTTACTTATATAGTGAAAGTAATAAATGCAGGTAAATATGGTAGTGTATGTCAAACAACTTAGATGAACGATGGTATGTACTAAAGGAGTTTCTGGTGAATGGAAAAATTGGCCTGAGACAAAGATACTGATGTTGTATACAGATGCATGTGAAGAGTTCAAATGAAATGTGGAAAAGTAAAAAGTAGTAGAATATTTAATATATTAAATAAATAAAACCTTACATACTAAAATGAGTAAAAAAAAAGTGAGTGGTGAATCCCTCCTCCTACATTAGTATATTTTTATAGACTGTATTTCTAGTCAGAGCCACTGGAGCTGTCATTCCAACTTCATCTTTACTTCCCTGAGCCTCTCATTCCCATTCAGTGCTTGAGATGTCTGACATATTTGGCTTCTTTCTCCCACTACTTCTCTTAAGGCTCGGATTCTTCCTCCTCTTCCTCTTCCTCTTCCTCTTCCTCTTCCTCTTCCTCTTCCTCTTCCTCCTCTTCTTCTTCCTCTTCCTCTTCCTCTTCTTCCTCTTCTTGCCTTTCCTCTTCCACTACCTCTTCTGGAACAGCCATTTCAGGCTCTGCTTCTGGGGGCTTTACTGCAGCCTCTTCTGGACCCTTTTCTGTGGGCTCTGGAGGAGCTCCTCTTGCACGTTTACAAATGATAATGATACAAATAATTAGGACTAATAATATTAGGAAGGAAAATACCAAAGCTGATATGATAATTTGGTCTAAGAAACCATCCTCACGTTTTTCAACAGTGGTAGTGGTTTCAGGTCCCTTTACTACAGCAGGAGAGCCACTATCCACACTACCCCCAGTTCCTATAGTTTTGCAGTTAGGTGGGGCATAGCCAGCCTCACAATGGCAGTGCTTTAAATTGTTGCAAACTCCTCTCCCATTACACATTTCTTTTGGTTCACAGTCATAGTTGAGCACAGCATAATCAACACAGGAGAAATTAATACAAATTTTTTCTGGGGCACAAAGAGTGCCAATTTCCACGTAACCATCATCAGGGATATCGGTAACATTATAAGCATCCATGCTCCAACACCAGTCGTCTCTATAAGGGACCTGGACCATTGTATGCATGGGTTTGATATCTGGCATATTTTTAATATTTGTACATATAACTTTCCCGCAATATATGTTTTCATCTGTGCACTTAACATATTGTTGGCTATCTGAAGTGGGAAGGCCACAGTTTCCAAACCGATCCCCTTTAGTGTTCATGGAAATGTAACAGTCTTCTGGGGCAGACCTTGCAGGGTACCCAAAAACACTTACACATTGAAAATCGAGAGTCTTACACTGACCCTGAACACAATAGTGAACTCTTTGACAAGATGTACCATCTTGCTTGTATGTGTTAGTGGGGCATCTGTCAGAGATACCATCACAATACTCTGGGAGGTCACACTCTCCCAAAGCAGAGCGACACATCAGTCCCTGTTCTGCATAATCACATGTATCATTACAGCAGGGTCCATGACTACACTTTGCTTTTGGCTTCAGCTGACATGTTGGGTCACAGCAAAGGTTATTACCACAGTCAGGTCCACAATCACACTGTTCATTCTCCTCCAACACACCATTTCCACACGTGGCTTGCCTACGCAGGCGACCTTTGGGCCGAGGCTTGTTAAATAGGCAGGCCCCTTTATGTTCCCAGAGGAACTTGTAGAAGTAGTCAGAGCTGCAGTTGCTGAAGCCACTTTCCTTAGTGATATTTTCATGCATGAGGCAAAAGTGTTTATCTTTACAAATGCAGGCTGAGTGGTCGTGCTGAATACCCAAGTTGTGCCCGAGCTCATGGACCATGAGCGCTGCAAACAGGAGGACATCTTCATGATGGAAGGATTCAACGGCTGTTGCAAAGCCTCCCGAACAGGCACCATTGAGAAATGCCTGCCCCGCATCCCCTTCAGGATGATGTCCAACGATCATGTGGGCAACATCGTGCTCCACACGATGGAACAGCTTCTCCTGTCTCCAGCTATTGAAATTCCTGAGTGTAACTCGCAAGTCCGCTGGGACTTCTATGAGGTCCCCCTCGGTCCAGATCTCCATTCCAGCCAACACCACCTCTGTGTTTATTCCCCTAGTGAAGATGTTGGCCAGGGCGGTGATGTCCATTACTCTCTGGACTGTCTCATTGACGTTACTGCCCCACATTTGGAACCGCTGGTGGTTGACCACGACAAACATCTCCACGTACTTGGTGTGTGACCAAAAGGAGGACGGTGCCTGTAGACTGCGAGGCTTCCTGCTCCCTTGTTGCCGGCTGGTGGACACCACTTGGCTGCCTTTGGAAGTGACATTACAGGAGACTCGAGCTTGGTGTGCCATGGTGTACAGCACATGTTCAAACCGTTTTGAAGTGTCCATGGGCTCAATGCCATAGGGTTTTCCCTCCCTAATCAGGATGCCCCTGAGGCCCGAACAGGTGTTGAGAGAAACAAAAGAACCTGGGACTCCTTCTATGTAGCCTTCGTAGTGACAGTCATGCGAGATGAAAGGCATTTCTTGCCCCAGGACACCACTGTGGTAGCTGAAGACTGGAAAGTTACTCACAAAATAGTCTCTCTTCACCTTCAGGTGAATCACCTGTTTCTGGCCCTGCATTAATAGTACATAGGATGCCTTTTCCCCTGGGCCTTCCCTTCCCTTGGCTGTCAGACTCTTGGGGATGACTGTTTCATAAGAAGAGTAATATACAGTTCCAGGGTCACAGTACAAGCTTGGCAAGAAAATCAGTACCAACAGCAACAAAATCCCCAACCTGACACACAGAGGTCCTGGTGCTACCAGTGCCCGCCTCAAGTCCTTCATGTGGGGAGCCCAAGTCTGAAACACTTGGCCAGCCTCGTAGGTAACCACTTGGTATTTCTGCAGAGAAGACAAGAAGGAGGCAGAGTGTCTCAAAGAAGCTGCCATGGATATGGCCATTGTGAATCAGCTGATGGTGGGTGGCCTGCGTCCATCAGCAGCAGCTCTCCCTGACACACAGACCCTCAGTCACAGGCATTAGCTCCAGATCTCTGCTGGCTGCATAAAGGGTGGCTACTGTCTACCTGTGAGAGGCACAGCCTCTGGCTGTGTCCTTTCCAGTCTTTCTGATCTGTTATCTTTCAGATAGTGTCCTTTCTCTGTGACTTCTTTCCACAGCATCAGCTTCAGTGCACCTTGGCTAAAGTCCTTCCGACATCATAGGCTGATATAATCATGAAGGACTGCAAACTCTAAAATGCAAGACCCTACCTTGAGAGTGGAAACAAAACCTCCATGCCTTCTCAACTGTGCCACACAGAATGCCCCACCCCCACCCCTCTGGTCGTCCGTTGCTTGGCTAACTCCAAGTGTTCCAGACCAGGGGGATTGGACATCTTTGGTGGGCACACTCTGTCGCTCACTTCCCCTCTTCTAAAACTCTTGCTCTGTGATACACAGACATCATAATTCAGATTGTTCTTTATCCCTCGATGGCATTATAGTGATATGCACACCTCACAGGCTGGTCTGTTAGCTAAGGCAGATGGAGTGGTGGCACTGTGGCCACAAGACAGACCCACGTGGGCTGGTGACTCACGGGGCAAGGGCCAATAGTCCTCTCTGTTTTGACATCACCAAAGTTTGGTTTCTCGAGTTCTGTTTATAACACAGTCCAAACATGTGTCTGGGGATGCTAATAGAGCGGTCTCCTCTTATGCATGAGTATCATGGCCATGTTGGTGGGTGCGTAGAGGCCCACAGCCTTCTCGAGATGGCCCTGACATACTGGTACACTAAGATTGTGCCTGTTGTGAACTAGATAATCCTGATAAAAGTCTCCCTTGTGTTAGAATATGGCCTCTGGGGGTTCAGCGACCTCTTCTGTCTGTTCATCTTTATACCCCTGGGTCTAGAAGAGGGCTTGTCCAAGAGTAGATGAACAAGAATTATTTATCAAGTGAACCCTGGTATGGGTACGGTGATGTCTCATCTGTTGTGTGTTATTTGTTTGTACTTGCTTGAATGCCTGCCCTGAATGGCTAAAAGTGTCTTCTGGGAAACCCACAACCATGCTGACTAATGGCATATTTGTGATTTCGGTGTGTGTATACCTCTTCCTATATTTTACCAGAAGTTCACTCTCCTGATTTCTTCCTGCCTCATCTTTCACTGAGAAAAATGGAAGCAATCCGATGAGTACTTCTACATGTAGATGCCAGGTGAGCCCACCTGTATCTAGAGTCTCCTCCACTGTAGTGGATAAGTTGTCCATGCTCCAATCTAAGGCCGATCCTTCTGCTTGTATGCAGAGTCTCCTTCCCATTCAGTTGCTCATGGACTTTGTTCACTCTTCCAGTTCTCCCTTCTCCCTTTGACATCTTTTTTTTTAAGATTTATTTATTTATTCATGAGAGACACACACACAGAGAGAGAGAGAGAGAGAGAGAGAGAGGCAGAGACATAGGCAGAAGGAGAAGCAGGCTCCTCGCAGGGAGCCCGATGCAGGACTGGATCCCGGATCCGGAGATCACGACCTGGGCCGAAGGCAGGCACTCAACCGCTGAGCCACCCAGGCGTCCCTCCCTTTGACATCTTAAACATCTGTTTGTCCATTGGATCCAGTCTCATCATATGCTGTAATATCTCGCCCTTATGAAACCATCCTTCTCAGCCTATATCACTCTCCAGTTGCATCCAATTTCTCTTTTCCATTTCAAAATGAAACTCTTTGAAAGAGTGTATAAACATTCTGTTCCAGTTTGCACCGCTACTTTTTTCTTTTCTGAAATGTTTTACTTTGAATCACAGCACAAACACAAAGCATGCATAAAATGTAAATGTATTTTACAGTGAGTTATTTGAAAGAGAACAGCCGAGCCAGACACAAAAGGACAAATATTTTATGATTTCATTTATTTAAAAAAATTTTTATTCAAACTCAATGTAATTAATATATAGTGTATTATTAGTTTCAGAGACAGAATTTAGGGATTCAGCAGTTGCGTATATAACACCCAGTGCTCATTCCATCAGGTGCCCTCCTTACGGCCGGCCCATCACCCAGTTACCCGGTCCCCCCTGCCCAGCCCACCTCCCCTCCAGCAACCCTCAGTTTGTTTCCTATAGTCGAGTCTCTTATGGTTTGTCTCCCTCTCTGTTTCCATCTTATTTTATTTTTCCTTCCTTTCTCCTGTGTCCATCTGTTTGGTTTCTTAAATTCCACATAGGAGTCAGATCTTGTATTTGTCTTTCTCTGACTCTTATTTCACTTAGCATAATACCCTCTAGTTTCATCCACGTCATTCCAAATGGCAAGATTTCATTCTTTTAGATGGATGAATAGTATTCCATCTGTGTGTGGGTGTGTGGGGGTGTGTGTCCACACACCACGTCTTCTTTATCCATTCATCTGTCAGTGAACATCTGGGCTTGTTCCATAGTTTAGCTACTATGGACATTGCTGCTGTAAACATTGGGGTCCAGATGCCCCCTTGGACCACTATGTTTGTAGCCTTTGCATAAATACCTAGTAGTGCCATTGCTGGGTTGTAGGGTAGCTTGATTTTTGACTTTTTGAGGAACCTCCACACTGTGTTCCAGAGCAGCTACACCAGTTTTCATTCCCACCCACAGTGTGAGAGGGTTCTTCTTTCTCCGCATCTCGCCAACATCTGCTGTTTCCTGAGTTGTTAATTTTAGCCATTCTGACCAGCTGGGAGGTGGTATCCCATTGTGGTTTTGATTTGTGTTTCCCTGATGCCGAGTGATGTTGAGGTTTTTGTTTTGTTTTGTTTTGTTTTGTTTTGTTTTGTTTTGTTTTTACCTGCCTATTAGCCATTTGTACGTCTTCTTTGGGAAATGTCTATTCATGTCTTCTGCCCATTTCTTGACTGCAGTTTTTGGTTCGGGGGTATTGGAGTTTGAAAGTTCTTTATAGACTTCGGATATTAGCCCTTTATCTGATATGTCAATTGTAAATATCTTCTCCTGTTCCATAGGTTGCCTTTTAGTTTTGCTGTTTCCTTTGCTGTGCAAAAGCTTTTTATCTTGATGAAATCTCAACAGTTCATTTTTGCTTTTGTTTCCCTTGCCTTTGAAGACGTGTCTAGCAAGAAGTTGCTGCAGCTGAGGTCAAAGAGATTGCTGCCTGTGTTCTTCTCTAGGATTTTGATGGATATCTGCCACACATTTAGGTCTTTCATTGATTTTGAGTTTATTTTTGTGTATGGTGTAAGAAAGTGGTCCTGTTTCATTCTTCTGCATGTGGCTGTCCAGTGTGAGTTATATATCAACAAAGCTGGTGTTAAAAGCTGTTGTTAAAAATAAATGTTGAGGGCAGCCCGGGTGGCTCAGCAGTTTAGCGCCACCTTCAGCCCAGGGTATGATCCCGGAGAACTGGGATGAGTCCCACGTTGGGCTCCCTGCATGGAGCCTGCTTCTCCCTCTGCCTGTGTCTGTGCCTCTTTTTCTCTCTGTGTCTCTCATGAATAAATAAATAAAATCTTTAAAAAAATAAAAATAAAAATAAATGTTGAACCACCCTTGCATCCCAGGAACAAATCTCACTTGGTCATGGTGAATAATTCTTTTAATGTACTCTTGGATCCTATTAGCTAGTATCTAGGAGAGAATTTTTGCATCCATATTCGTCAGGGATATTGGTCTGTAATTCTCCTTTTTGGTGGGGTCTTTGTCTGGCTTTGAGTTCAAGGTATTGCTGGCCTCGTGGAATGAGTTTGGAAGTCCTTTCATGTCTATCTTTTTGAAACAGCTTCAGAAGAAAAGGAATTAATTATTCTGTAAATGTTTGGTGGAGTGGCGCCTGGGTGGCTCAGTGGTTGGTTGAGCATCTGTCTTTGGCTCAGGTCATGATCCCAGGGTCCTGGGATCGAGTCCCACATCGGGCGTGCCGATGTGCTTCTCCCTCTGCCTATGTCTCTGCTTCCCTCTCTCTCTCTCTCACTCTCTCTCTGCTCTCTCTCTCTGTGTGTGTGTGTGTGTATGTGCGTGTGATGAATAAATAAGCCAAAAATCTTTAAAGAGTAAAAGAAAAGAAAAGTTTGGTAGAATTCCCCTGGGAGGCCATCTGGCCCTGGACTCTTGTCTGTTGGGAGGTTTTTGATTACTGCTTCAATTTCTTTGCTGGTTGTGGGTCTGTTCAGGTTTTCTATTTCTTCCTGTTTCAGTTTTGGTAGTTTATGTGTTTCTAGGAATGCATCTGTTTCCTCCAGATTGCCTAATTTGTTGCCATATAATTGCTCATAATATTCTCTTATAATTGCTTGTACTTCTCCAGTATTGGTTGTGGTCTCTCCTCTTTCAGTCATGATTTTGTTTGTTTGGGAGGAAGGCCTCTTTCCATTTTGATAAATCTGGCTAGGGGTTTGTCGATCATATTAATTCTTTCAAAGAACCAGCTCCTAGTTTCCTTGTGATCTGTTCTACTGTTGTTGTTTTTTTATTTCTATGTCATTGATTTCTACTCTCATCTTTATTATTTCTCTTCTCCTGCTGGATTTATGCTTTATTTGCTGTTCTGTTTCCAGCTCCTTTATGTGTATGTTCAGGCTGTGTATTTGAGACATTTCTTGTTTCTTGAGGAAGGTGCCTGTATTGCTATATACTTCCCTCTTAGGGCTGCCTTTGCTGCAGCCCAAAGATTCTTAACTATTGTGTTTCCATTTTCATTTCTTTCCATGTATTTTTTAAATTCTTCTTTAATTTCCTGGTTGACCCATTCATTCTTTAGTAGGATGCTCTTTAACCTCCATGTATTTGTGTCCCTTCCAAATTTTCTCTTGTGATTGAACTCAAGTTTTAAAGCATCGTGTTCTGAAAATATGCATGGTGTGAGCTCAATTTTTTGTGCCAGTTGAGATCTGATTTGTGACCCAGTGTATGATCTATCTCTTCTAGAGAATGTTCCATGTGCACTTGAGAAGAATGTCCATTCTCTT